GCCAGGGAGGACTTTCAGGAGGAGGCCATGTATCAACTAACCATGAAAAGATGAGTAGGACTTTGCCAATGAGGCAGATATAGAGGATGGAGTAAGGGGCATCTAGAAGAAATGAGGCAATACCTTATAGCAGCAATTTTTACCAGGGACAATTTTGCCCCCAAAATGTCTGGAGATGCTTGTAATTGCCACAACTGGGCTGGATGCTACTGGTAGGTAATGGTCAGAGGCCAAGGGTGCTGCTAAATGTCCCACAATTCACAGGACAGTCCCCTACCACAAAAAAGTTTCTAGACCTAAATGTCAGCTGTGATGAGGTTGAGAAACTCTGCCTTTTAATATAATTGATGGAATAATGTAAAAAGTTTTAGCAAATTATAAAATTCTGTACACAGGTAAAGTCTTCAGATTTTCTAGTCCTTGATGATATTGTTATGATATGTGACTAAAGAATTAAAATGACTGTTCCTAATGCACACAAGCATATACATCCAGGCTCATACATGTTATAATACCCTGTATGGTCTGCTGAGAAGCAGGGAGGACAGAAATGGGAGAACAAAGCAAGAGTGTGGACACTCTAACAGTCCCTGTTAGAGAATGTGGAATTTGATGCTGGAATGGGCGACCTTCCAAACTGTGTGAATTGACAGGCTCATTTTGCATGTGGAGGCAGGTCAGTGATACCCATGACTCTCTGCTCTCATTTCTGAGCATCAAATCGTGAAAGAAAATGAAGCCCAAAGTTACCTAAATTGGGACATAATCATGGGATGCTCTTATTTCTTCCTATCCCAAGGAAAATCTGAGCCCACTGGCCTTTGGCTGAGCTCATATCATCCAAGCACAGTTTCTTGAAAGGTGGGAAGTGAGGAAGGTTAAGAGCAAGGCTTCTCATGGCTCCTGGGTGACTCACTCAGTTGAATGTCCAACTCTTGATTTTGGCTCAGTCATGATCTCGTGGTTTGTGAGATCAAGCCCTGCCATCAGGCTCTGTGCTGACAGTGTGGAGTGTGCTTGGGATTCTCTCTCCCTCTCTCTCTCTCTCTGCCCCTTTCCCACTCATGCTCTCTCTCTCAAAATAAAGAAACATTAAAAAATGAATTTAAAAAGAGAGCATGCTGTCTCATCAGGAATACTATTGAATTGTAGGACTTTTTAGGTTTTGGACATGGCTGGATTTTTTTGAGGGGGTTGGGGGAAATGTAATAATATATACACACTTAAAACACACACAACACACACACACACACACACACACACACACACAATTTCCTGAGACCAAGTAATGGTATGTCACATGTCACCTGAATATTCTGTGATTCTGAAAATCATAGTTTTCAAATCTGGAATGATCAAGATTAAAGAAGAATGTGTTTCTGACTGTCTGGAATATAATTTACCTTGCTTTATGGGACTCCTTACTTTGAGTTCTCTGATTTCTTTGTTGATATTTTAAACCCATCATCAGTCCCATTGTTTCCAGTACAAGGACTGTAACTCTGGCTCTGAATAATCATTGATGAGCATATCAGTAAATGGCATTCTTATGCTGTTTCTGTCTATCCCTGTGGATTATTTCTGCATGCCTGATAATAATCCCCATATTCTTAAAATCCTTTAATGACCCTGAGTTTCCTACTTAATGAAGTACAAACTCCTTAGTCTGTGTTAAAGCAATAGAATCTGACTCCAGCAAATGGAGTAGCTCAGTAAACCAAAGGAAGAGACAGATAACCAAGTCTTAGGAATAATAGGACACAGGGATGCCCCAGAGGTCTCAGAGGCCAAAGTGCATGACCTGCTTTCTAGAAAAGTGTCAGAGAGTGACTCAAGTTCAACCACTCTTGGTTACTATGTGTCTGAAGAATACTCAGATTCCCAGAATAGAGAATCTGATCAGTCCAGCTAGAGTCAAGTGCTTTGCCCTCCACCTTGGACCAATCACTGTTGTCAGGGAGCGGTACTAGAATTGGCCTCATTTGGGTCACATGGATGTGCTGGCATCTGTTACTAGCAGCAGAGAGAGATGCTGGGGAGACACAAGCAAGCCTCTACCAACCTGTGCCTAGTATTCCCTACAGCTCACTTAGACAACCTGTCTGGGTGATAGACATGTCCAATGCATGCACTCTGTTCTTTCTCAAAATAGAACTCTGATTTGGGATATACTTCATACATTTTATAACTTCCCTACTCTCTACTTTTGTTCATAATGTTTACATGTCTCTACAACTTGGTTCATCCCCAAAACTTCAAGGTCAAGTGCTGCCTCTCTCTAACATTCTATAGATACCAGTGGTAGGGGGTTGGTTTTTCCACATTTTGGATTCCAGTGGTGCTTCATGTCCTGACACTCTGGTGTGGGTGTGAGATGTGAGGTGGAGAGAGGGAGCCGGTGTGTGCTAGAATAGACAAGATGGGGGAGGATGGATGGTGAAGGGTCCTCTGGACAGCATAGCTAGTGAGGGTATTGGGTTGGGAAGGTGGTGGAGAGGAGAGCTCTAATCAGAAGAGAAGGAAGTATAGATGAGGAATTAAGTGGTTAAGTGTAGAAGGCAGTAGGTGAGAGTCAAACAGTTCTGAATTTGGAAGCTGACTTCCATTTTCCGACTTTGTGACATTGGCGTTATTTTCACATCCCCTCCCTGCACCACGTTTCCCTATACTGAATAGGAATTAGGATGCTTACTTACCTCATTGCTTATATATTTGTAAGGGTAGAGCACAGTAATTAAGGAAATTAATGGAAATAAGAAAATAAAGGCTTTCATTTCTTAGACCAGCCATAGTTGTTAAAATGTGAATTATAATTGTGAAAAAACAAATCAAAAACCTTTGTGAAATCCAAAAGATGCTGGGCTAACCTTTGCCTTTCTCACAAAAAATAAGAAAAATGTTGGAGAATATTCACCCCTAAATACTATAAAAAAAAGGAGGTGTGGCAAAACTTGAGGAATACTCATTTTCTTATGTTAAAACAATATTTTTCCATAATTTTAAATAGTTAATGTGAATAAGCAAACCCTAAATTATCATTCTAACCATTTAAATGTGTAAATTTATTGGATACCTTGTTTACTTAAAATTAAGAAATATATTTATGATAGAAAATCGATTTTGTTCGCCTAAACTATAAAATTACTGATCTTATTTTAATTTAGCCCACTGTTACAAATATCACACAGACATTATTGCTGATCAGGAAAAAAGGAGAGAAAATAAATCCTCAAGACCCTGTGTCTAATTTTTCTCTTGTAATTCTAAGTAATGATAAATGGGTAAAGAAGTGGCTTTAGCAGATGCATATCAAAATACAGCACGTATTAGTCTGCTCAGGCTGACATAATGAAACCCATGGACTGGGTGACTTACACAGCAGACATTTATTTTTTCACAGTTCTGGAGGCTGGAAGTCTAAGATCAAGTTTACAACAGGGTTTGTTTTCTGGGGAGAACCTTCTTCCTGGCTTGCAGACAGCACCCTTCTTGCTGTGCCCTTACATGTCATAGAGTGAGAGGGATCTCTCAGGTGTTTCTAAAAGGACACCAATCCTATTGGATCAGGGCCCCATCCTTATAACCTGGTTTACCCTTCATTACTTCTTCAGAGGCTTCATCTCCAAATATAGTCACATGGGAGATTAGGGCTCCAACATAGACTCAATCTATAACAAAGCACAAAACCCATTTGTTCACACCAGTGTGTGTGTGTGTGTGTGTGTGTGTGTGTGTGTGTGTGTGTGTATATTTTTTTTTTTTGAGAGAGAGAGAAAGAGTGTGAGCAGGGGAGGGGCAGAGAGAGAGAGAGAGAGAGAGAGAGAGAGAGAGAGAGAGAGATGGAATCCAAAGCAGGCTCCAGGCTCTCAGCTGTCAGCACAGAGCCCGACACAGGGCTCGAACTCACGAACCGTGAGATCATGACCTGAGCTGAAGTCGGACTCTTAACTGACTGAGCCACCCAGGCGCCCCACACACTAGTACATATTAAATGCAGATTGAGTACATATTAAATGCGGATTGAAGGCCATTGTAGAACAGTAGACTTTCAGGTGTAAGTCTTCTTGATCCACAAAGGATGGCAGGGGTCCAGGTAATCAGGCTCATCTCTGGATCTTCCGGTCTCCGTTGAATGTCACTTCCTCAGGAAAGACTGCTGTGTGGACCCTGGTTGAGTTTTTGGTCCTCTGTTAACTTTTACAGGACTCCAAACCTCACCTCCATTGCATCGATCTCTGTTTGTAAGTATTTAATGGCTAATGTCCTGCACTGTTAGACTCTAAGTCAAATTTCCAGGTGTAGAATACAGAATCAGTCTTGTATCTCCGTAGTATCTTAATCCTGGGCACTTGCATGTGAAATGAATGAATGCTTAAAATCCAGATGCTAGCTCACTTCAGGGAGCTAAAAGGGAGATTGGTGGACATCAGCCATGGGTGTGTGCCCTGACAGAGCAGAAGCTTTAATCTAAATAGATTATTTGACAGCTAAACAGGAGAAGCAAAGCCAAAACCCAAGTGAATACATTAGGGCAACATGGTTGGTGTGCAAATGTATGATGATGTACAAATGTCTGTCTAGGCTCAGGGAGGCCTAGAGGTTTTTGTGTACCAGCCTAACTTCAGACAGCACCAAGAAGAGGGGCTGAGGTCATGGCCAGTCTATTTCCCTGGTTCCATATGGGGCTAACTGGCTGACAGAAGGTGTTGGGGTTTCCAGTTAGGCAGGCCTGATTTGGATAGTGTGCATCTCTTATGCCAATGAGCTCCTGTGTTTTAGATCATGTTTGTTTGTGTCTTTTTATCATCCTCCTAGTTAAAAACTCACCCTTGTTCCTTGCTCCTAATGCTGAGCACACCGACTCAGCATATGTTGCTGAATTGGATGGAGTTGATGAGTTGGCTTTGATAGGATGGTTCAAGCTTCCCCAGGATTACAAATCAGCAACAAGTGAATGTCTTCCTAAGAGCCCTCAATTGGACCAATTTTCTTTTTTACAGTTCTTCCATTTTGGGATACATCTTCCATTTCCAGAAGAATAGAACCCCACAGCTAGACCTTGAAAAGAAGAAATATAACACAGCATTGGTTATCAGATGTCATTGTGCCATCAAAACAAACTGAAGAACTCATAAAAGTACAGATTCCTGGGTGCCACCCTCAGAGAATCTTGTTCAATGAACCTGGAATGGAGGGTAGATGCTTTTTTTGCCACAAGCACTCAGGTGATATGAAGCAAGTGGTCTGTGAAGGACATCTAGAAGTTAGCACATGGTCTCCTGAGGATCCTGGTAAAGTGTAGGCATGCATTCATCATATCTGGGGAGGGAGGCTGACATCCCTCATCTCTAACAAACTTCCAGAAGTCAGTTGCTGATGGTCCATGAACCACACTCTATGTAGCAAAGACATAACAAAGTCACTGAAGTGACAGTTGAGTTAGGGCTCTGGAGTCAGACAGTCACACTTTGAATGTAACTTGACCACTTCCACTTTACAGCCTCTCCAAGTCTCCAAATCCTTGTGTCTCCAATGAAAATAGGTGCAGGGATTAAATGTGACAATAATATGCATAAAATATTCATTATATTGCTTGACATGCCATTAGTTCTCCATGAATGTATGCCAGCCCATTATGTTGTTATTAGTAATAAATCCTGCTAATTCATTGCAAATTAGGCAGAGATGTTTGTTTTATAATCTGTCATTTTTCTCCACTCATTTAATTTCTAGGAGTGAGACCATGTTTCCATTCTTACTGTACAACACATCTGGAAAATAAGAAAAATGAGCCAGTCTCCTACCAAATACCCAGCACATAACACATTCTTAATAAGATGTCATATTAATGAACATCAAAACATCTGGATGAGGGGATAATTTGTTTCATCTTGCTCCAGATATTGGCTATTATGTTTGCAGAGCTGGCATACCCAGTGCTGGGTCAATGTGATTCAAAACTGAGAGGACCCCCAGTGAAAATTTCCGTCCAGGTAAGCTGTTTGACATCTTAGGAAACAGCAGCCTATATATTGGCTGAATTTCTTGGACTTTAGCTTCTTGCTATATGTATTTCTGGTGATATAGAAGCCTGTAGTTCTGTCCTGAGCTTGTGTAGAACATCTTTAAGGTTGATTGATTGGTTGATTTGAAAAAGCAAAGGTCCTGAGGGCAGGGTGATGTTTACTCGATAGGCAAATATTACAGCATAACAGGTAAGCTCTCAGGCTTTGCCTTCACACTAATGTAGGTTCAAACCTTGGCTCTGCCATTTTACACCTGTGTGACTTGGGTTCACTTGCATAATCTCTCTGAGTCCTATTTCATCAGAGTGCCACTGCTAGGACTTTCCTTACCAGTTGTCAGTGACCTTAATATCATGTGCCCTGTTCTAAGGGAAGCCAGAGTCAGGTACTGGTCCCTGTAAGTGAACTGTGATGGTCTGAGTCATCATTCCATGTTTGGGAATATGTTTGGCTCACCATACAAATTCACATTTATTTATTTTGCTTTTTATTTTTATTTATTTTTTATTTTTATGTTTTTAATTTATTTATTATGTAATTTACATCCAAGTTAGCATATGGTGCAATAATGATTTCAGGAGTAGATTTCTTAGTGCCCCGTACCATTTAGACCATAATCCCCTCCCACAACCCTTCCAGCAACCCTCTGTTTGTTCTCTGTATTTGAGAGTCTTTTATCTTTTCTCCCCTTCCCTGTTTTTATATTATTTTTGCTTTCCTTCCCTTATGTTCATCTGTTTTGTCTATTAAGATCCTCATGTGAGTGAAGCCATATGATATTTGTCTTTCTCTGACTAATTTTGCTTAGCATAATACCCTCCAGTTCCATCCAGGTAGTTGCAAATGGCAAGATTTCATTCTTCTTGATTGTTGAGTAATACTCCATTGAATATATATACCACATCTTCTTTATCCATTCATCCACCAATGGACATTTGGGCTCTTTCCATACTTTGGCTATTGTCGATAGTGCTGCTATAAACATTAGGGTGTATAAGCCCCTTTGAAACAGCACACCTGTATCCCTTGGGTAAACACCTAGTAGTGCAATTGCTGGTCATAGGGCAGCTCTATTTTTAATTTTTTGAGGAACCTCTATACTGTTTCCCAGAGTGGCTGCACCAGTTTGCATTCTCACAAGCAGTGCAAAAGAGATTCTCTTTCTCTGCATCCTCACCAACATCTGTTGTTGCCTGAGTTGTTAATGTTAGCTATTCTGACAGGTGTGAGGTGGTATCTCATTGTGGTTTTGATTTGTATTTCCCTGATGGTGAGTGATGTTGAGCATTTTTTCATGTGTTGGTTGGCCATCTGGATGTCTTGTTTGGCTAAGTGTCTATTCATGTCTTTTGCCCATTTCTTTACTGGATTATTTGTTTTTTGGATGTTGACTTTGATAAGTTCTTTATAGATTTCAGATACTAACTCTTTATCTGATATGTCGTTTGCAAATATCTTCTCCCATTTTGTTGGTTGCCTTTTAGTTTTGCTGATTATTTCCTTTGCTGTGCAGAAGCTTTTTATTTTGATGAGGTCTCAATAGTTCATTTTTGCTTTTGTTTCCCTTGCCTCTGGAGATGTGTTTAGTAAGAAGTTGCTGTGGCCAGGATCAAAGAGGTTTTTGCCTGCTTTCTCCCCAAGGATTTTGATGGCTTCCTGTCTTACATTTAGGTCTTTCATCCATTTTGAGTTTATTTTTGTGTATGGTGTAAGAAAGTGATCCACGTTCATTCTTCTGCATGTCGCTGTCCAGTTTTCCCAGCACCATTTGCTGAAGAGACTGTCTTTATTCCATTGGATATTCTTTCCTGCTTTGTCAAAGATTAGTTGCCCATACGTTTGTGGGTCTATTTCTGCGTTCTCTATTCTGTTCCATTGATCTGGGTGTCTGTTTTTGTGCAGTGTCATACTACTTGATGATTACAGCTTTTTAATATGTCTTGAAGTCTGGGAGTGTGATGCCTCCTGTTTTGGTTTTCTTTTTCAAGATTGCTTTGGCTATTCGGGGTCTTTTCTGGGTCCATACAAATTTTAGGATTGTTTGTTCTAGCTCTGTGAAGAATTCTGGTGTTATTTTGATATTGCATTGAATTGCATTGCATTGAATATGTAGATGGCTTTGTGTAGTATCGACATTTTAACAATGTTGTTCTTTTTAAAAATTTTTTTAAATGTTTATTTATTCTTGACAGAGAGAAAGAGAACGAGTGGGGGAGGGGCAGAGAGAGAGGGAGACCCAGAATTTGAAGCAGGCTCCAGGCTCTGAGCTGTCAGCACAGAGCCCAACGTGGAGCCTGAACTCACGGACTGCGAGATCATGACCTGAGCTGAAGTCAGGCGCTCAACTGACTGAGCCACCCAGGAACCCCAACAATGTTTGTTCTTCTAATCTAGGAGCCTGGAATAGAATATTTTTCCATTTTTATATGTGCCTTTTTCACTTTCTTTCATAAGCTTTCTCTACTGTTCAGTGTATAGATTTTTCACCTCTTTGGTTATGTTTATTCCTAGGTATTTTATGTTTTTTTGGTGCAGTTGTAAATGGGATAGATTCCTTGATTTCTCTTTCTGTTACTTCATTATTGGTGTATTGAAATGCAACCGATTTTTTTGTGCATTGATTTTATATCTTGCGACTTTGCTGAATTCATGAATCAGTTTTAGCAGTTTTTTTTTGTGGAATCTTTTGGGTTTTCCATATAGAGTATCATGTCATCTGCAAAGAGTAAAAGTTTCACCTACTCCTGGCTGATTTGGATGACTTTTATTCCTTTGTGTTTTCTGATTGCTGAGGCTAAGACTTCCAGTACTATGTTGAATAACAGTGGTGAGAGTGGATATCCTGTTGTTTTCCTGACCTTAGGGGGAAACCTCTCAGTTTTTCCCCAATGAGGATGATATTAGTGGTGGGTCTTTCATACATGGCTTTTATGATCTTGAGACATGATCCTTCTATCCCTACTTTCTTGAGGACTTTTCTCAAGAAACATACAAAGGATGTTGTATGTTGTCACATGCTTTCTCTGCATCTATTAAGACGATCATGTGGTTCTTGTCCTTTATTTTATTGATGTGATGTATCACATTGATTGTTTTGTGGATATTGAACCAGCCCTGCACCCCAGGTATAAATCCCACTTGGTTATGGTGAATAATTCTTTTAATGTATTGTTGGATCTGGTTGGCAAGTATCTTGTTGAGGATTTTTGCATCCATGTTCATCAGGGAAATTGGTCTATACTTCTTTTTAGTGAGGTCTGTGTCTGGTTTTGGAATCAAGGTAATGCTGGCTTTGTAGAAAGAGTTTGGAAGTTTTCTTTCCATTTCTATTTTTTGGAACAGCTTCAAAAGAATAGGTATTAACTCTTCCTTAAATGTTTGGTAGAATTCCCCTGGAAAGCCATCCAGCCCTGGACTCTTGTCTTTTGGGAGATTGTTGATTACTAATTCAATTTCTTTCCTGGTTTTGGATCTGTTCAAATTTTCTATTTTTTGCTGCTTCAGTTTTGGTAGTTTATATGTTTCTAGGAATTTGTCCTTTTCTTCCAGATTTCCCATTTTATTGGCATATAATTGCTCATAATATTCTCTTATTATTGTTTTTATTTCTGCTGTGTTGATTGTGATCTCTCCTCTTTCATTCTTGATTTTATTTATTTGGATCATTTCCTTTTTCATTTTGATGATACTGGCTAGAGGTTTCTCAATTTCATTAAATCTTTCAAAGAACCAGCTCCTGGTTTCATTGATCTGTTCTACTGGTTTTTTTTTTCTTTCTTTTTTTCTTTTTTTTTTTGGTTTCAGTATCATTGATTTCTGCTCTAATCTTTATTATTTCCTATATCCTGATGGTTTTCAGTTTTCTTTGCTGTTCTTTTTCCAGTTCTTTAAGGTGTAAGGTTAAGTTGTGCATCTGAGACCTTTCTTCCTTTTTTTGGAAGGGCTGGATTGCTATATACTTTCTTCTTATGACCACCTTTGCTGTGTCCCAGAGGTTTTGGGCTGTGGTGTTATCATTTTCAATGGCTTCCATGTACTTTTTAATTTCCTCTTTAACTTCTTGCTTAGCCCATTAGTTCTTTAGTAGGATGGTTTTTAGTCTCCAAGTATTTATCTTTCCAAATTTTTCTTGTGATTGATTTCAAGTTTCATAGCATTGTGGTGTGAAATAAACACAGTATTATCTTGATCTTTTTGTGCTTATTGAGGACTGATTTGTGTCCCTGTATATGATCTACTCTGGAGAATGTTCCATGTGCACTGGAGAAGAATGTGTATTCTGCCGCTTTAGGATGAAATATTCTGGATATATCTGTTAAGCCCATTCAGCCCATTCAAAGCCATTGTTTCCTTGTTGATTTTCTGTTTAGATGGTCTGTCCATTGCTCTAAATGGGGGTGTTGAAGTCCCCTAGTATTATGGTATTATTATCGATAAGTTTATGTATGTTTGTGATTAATTGATTTATATATTTGGGTTCTTTCACATTTGGTGCATAAATGTTTACAATTGTTAGGTCTTATTTGTGGATAGACCCCTTAATTATGATATAATACCCTTCTTAATCTCTTGTTACAGTTTTTATTTTAAAGTCTAGATTTTCTGATATAAGTATGGCTGCTCCGGGTTTCTTTTGGTGACCATTAGCATGATGGTTCTCCATCCTCTTGTTTTCAATCTGAATGTATCTTTAGGTATAAAATGGGTCTCTTGTAAACAGCATATAGATGAATCTTGTTTTCTTATCCATTATGTTACCCTATGTCTTTTGATTGGAGCATTTAGACCTTTGACGTTTAGAGTGAGTACTGAAAGATAGGAATTTATTGCTCTTATGATGCCTGTAGAGGTGGAGTTTCTGGTAGTGTTCTCTGGTCCTTTCTAGTCTTTGTTGACTTTGGTCTTTTTGTTTTTGTTTCTTTTTCATCTTTTCTCCCCTCAGAGAGTCCCCCTTAAAATTTCTTGCA